GGAAGAGAGATAAGTTGGAGGTAGAATTCATACGATCAGAAAAGGTTTTGCACCAGGTCTTTACGGTGAAGGTAAGAAATACTAGTAGCTATAACACTGCAATAATATAACTGTCAATGGCTTGTACATTGGTTGAAATGTAACTCATACAATAAAAAATTGTCAGAACATTTTGTTTAAAAAATGATTAAGTGGAGAAAGTCATAAGAAAATGTCACAATATTTTGTTGTTTTGCTTGTATATATAGTGACCGTATCTCTCTTTTTATAGTACCGCGTGTTCAAACGGATACTTTAAGTTATATAAACTGCTTTCTTAACTTTGTTATATCATATGCAGATATTAATTTAAAACATTTATTATCCATTAATAGATCAGCAATCACCTGTCAATGACATATCATTGATGAAAAGCAAATCATGGAATTATACTTTATTGTTTGAAAATAAAGTGGAGAAACTCTTAAACATAAAACATAATATGTTGTTGCTTTGCTTGTGTATTTAGTCACCGGATCTTCTTCATAGTATCATATACACTTGTTAAAACGGGTCTAACTGCTCTCTTTACTTTGTTATATGATTTGCGATTATTAATTTTAGATCATTACTGATAAAAATATAGATCTGCAAAATATATTAACTTATATATTAGTTTTCTATTTGTATAGGTGGCGCAATGAGACTCCCCTATAACCACTTTCTAACAAGGCACTATATAAAACTGTTCCATATCGACATTATACCATTTCAAAATTTCAACGAAAATGCCTTTATTACTGTTAACGGAGACCCGCCTATAAAGATATCAGGTAATGATTAACCTTTATCAAATCATTACACACAAAACAGTCATCTGTAATGGTTAGATAACTTTAAAACAATCAACATACATGTAGAATCACAACAGTTTGAATAAGTTTGCCGATAAGTGACGGTGTGGTCAGCTTTCAACTATAATATTCAATTTTCAGAACAATATTTCAAGTTGTGATTAAATGATGAACAAAGTACTGGTTAAATAGATATACAATCACATAATCACAAAATCTCTGGGGTCTTTTGTTTTGAAAGTAGCCGATAACATGTATGTGTCTTGAATACTACTTGTTCTGTATTTAGAGTGGTTAGAACATGAAGACACATACTGTAGTAAATATTGGCCAGGATGGGACACCTAGCTGAAGAAGACAGAGGGATTAAAACAGAGACTTAAGATAAATGGAATTAGTAAGTAGAAATGAAGTTACAGTAAACACTATTTAATATTCACTTGTAGTTTATTTAGCCAAAATTAACACAAGGGCTGCTCGAAAAGAATTGCTTATTGCGCTGAAGCTCGATATTCACGAGAAAATTTCGAACAATCTTGATACGACTGGAAAACTCTATTCAATGAATTTGCAATGATATATACCTGTACGAATTAAATTTATCGATGTGTAGCGAATTCGTCATTTGAATACACACTGCCATTGACTACTGAATATATGAAAATGGTTGGCAAAAGCTTAGTTATGATAGAAGCAACATGGGCTTATAATTATGAAAGCTCATACGTTACCTCTGCAATATCTTCCAACATTTTAAAACAAGAGAAAGTCAAGTTCTTCCTCATCCCCCACATTCTCCAGACCTCCAGATCTTGCTGCCTTCTACTTGTTCTCTTTCCAAAATTGCTGGTCAAAAATAACGGTCAAGACAGGCAATAGGTTCTGCTGTTTTCCGTACCTTAGCACTATGCTCAAATCAGCGTAACATGACGTCTTTCGGAAATTGATTTATCAACAGAATTTATGTATTTCTAATCACGGGAAATACTCTGAAGGTATGAAATAAATAAACCGGCATATTTTTGAATAAAGTTTTCAGTGTGTAATGCGAAAATAAGCAATTTCTTTCCAAAAGCACCGGTACTATAGGCGAAAGAAAAACTGGTTATAATGTGCAAATTTTAAAATAATGTTTATGGTTAAAAATCACATTTTGGATCTATAATTTGTAATTTGTACTCATGTCACGAGTGTTATTCATGTAACATTTAATTTGACATCATTTAATGACGGATACAATCGGTTATTTGTGCTTATTTCTTTATTGATCACTGTAACATTTATAATTTATATTGAAACTGATTTTTCTTTACGATTTTAAAGGGAAAGACAATGTTAGAATAGAAACTTGATTTCAGAAAAAGAATACTATAAATAATAAATCTGCAAATTTTCTGCCGCCAAATAATAATATTAAACGAATGATATCAAAATTTAAATCGCTAAATCACCGATTTCTACAAATCAGTAAGCGCGGCCATGTTTGTGTATAGGGTATGTAAGTCTCGTCATGTGACTTGCGAGATTTCACGATATTTTGCACTTCCGGGTACAAACAAATATCAACAACATTGCTTATCTATATTGGGTAATACTTGTATGCCGGTATTAAAGTAAAACTTACACGGAAAAGCAAAGGATATGTGGAAATTGGCAGAGTTTTTTGTTTTTAACGAAATGCAAATAGTTTCATCTTGTGAACAAGTATCAATGAAAGACAACTTCGTATAATCTTCAGGTGGGTGTGTCATTTCGAATTCAGTTTATCGCAATAAATGTTGTAATATTTTCATGTCCATGTAAATCTAATAAATTTGTTATTTGATACATCATCATTCGCATCTGACTTCAGACTGGTGAATTTGATTTTATCAATTTTCTATAGCGCTACCTGATTATCTCTCAGAAGTATATAATGTTTAGAAATTTCGGACAGCGCATATTTCGGATAAACGTTTCAATATGATTATCAGTGTGTTTTAGTTGAATATATTTTCTTCTAACTGAAAATATTATTTATTATTATTATCTTTATATGGCACAAACATTCAAGCTGTATATTACCAATTTAAATTGCCATAAATTTAATGAAATATTTTGTTCCTGTAGATATTTAGACTGAGAAAAGTGGTGAGATGAAAGACGTCAACTGGTATCCGATGTAAACAACATGCATGCTCTGCTGTAAAAGCGTTTTGGTAAGAAATATATACTTAAAGCTACTTCAACTACATTAATGAAAAATAAATATTTTTGTATAACATAATGTTCTCGTTTTTGTAAATAATGGCATATGTAGTTTACAGTAGTTAATTCATGTTAAATACTGTTTAAAGTATTTTTTTCAAGTAAGTGGGTCATATTTTTTAGTTAAATAATGTTCAGTAAATGGTTAAAAGAACTAAGTCACTATCATATTTTTTTTAAAGATCAGTAAACTGTTGTCAAAGCAAATCTACAAAAACTAGGACACCAAGAAGTGTTTCTTCATTTTTAACATTATTTTCTATTCAAAACAAGATGAAAATGATTAAAATTTATAGCTGACCAATTATTATTGCTTTCAACTAATGATAAATTTTCTTTATATGCAGGTAGTTGATTTCATGGTTGGATCTTGAGTACTTGTCATGGCTCTTGATTTATTTTGGAGTGTTCACCATCAAATTAGAAACCAAATAGTGATACCACCAGACATAGTTGAAAGGAAATGTCCATACACAGTCTTGGAGTACATAGTGGTACAGACATGGCCATTACAGATTTTGACTGAATTAAAGCTTATTAAAGCTCCATGTCTTGTGTAAACTGTCTGACTGAATGTTTGTATTCTAATAAAAACTAAGGTTGAAGACACTTCAAAGATATATGTCAGCGTAAAAATGTTAAACAAAATATCTGTCTTTGTTAGAAATAAATAACCTGTCTTTGTTAGAAATAAATAACCTGTCATTTGTAACATTGTATTAACTTAATTATTCAAAGATAATTTATCTTCTGCAAATGGCTGTCCAAAACAGCTTCAACCAGGCATCATGTATTTTCAAAACAGTTAAGATAAAATTGTTTTAAATAGACTTGTAAGATGACAAGAATGGTAAAAAGATAAATTATCTGCATTAAAATGTTTCTATCTTGATTGAGTTTCATTTCATACTATCACCATGATCACTGTAATTGTAAAAGTAATGTAATCTATAACCATCATTTAAATATCATAAAAAATCATCTCAAAGAAAAACTTGTTTCTGAGACAAGATGTGTAAATTTCCTTCCAGTAATAGCCTTTCACTGCTCTGAGAAAAGCCATGATTTGCATTGTACATGGCAGGTAGTAATACCAGAGTAAACAATATTAATGTAATTCATCTGTGTTGAGTATTCTGTAGCAAAACACTAGCTTGCTAGTCCTTTAAAGCCCAAGTCTGTCTCTTAATCACAAAATTGGAGAAGACTTGCAATTCTGCATTCCTTGAAAGATTTTAGTATCAGAGGGGCAGTTATTACATACCATATACTTCTTTGGGTTTCAAATTTCCTGTTTTATAATGTATTGAACTTGTTGACATTTGACCAAAAGTGAATTATCTATACAAATCGTGCAAAACTTAGGGTTTGCACTTGAGACAAAACAATTACATCCCTGATACTTTAATATACCCATTGGGACTGTTTCAAAATTGTCAATGTTTAAAAAAAAACACACAATGCTTTTAACTTCTGTCCATGTAAATATGTGTAAATGTAGTCATTGAAGAGCTGTCAAGAACTTTTCATCAATATTATTTAGATAGTGTCTGTTTCGATTTCAGGACAGACAAAATTCAAATGACATGCATAGTATTTAATATAGTCAATGCTTGCATATTCAAGTAATCTAGCCATTGCTGTTAGAGAATAAAAGTACACAGTGACACTTATTTTGCAGATGAACCCTTATGATCAAGCACTGCTATAAATATATGCCAAATAGTAGAAACAAAAAACAGTTCATAAGTTTGATAAACTTTTATTTTTACACAATTTATAGTGCACTGCTTAGCATATACATGTATATCACACTGATATTCCACTCAGTGGAAGAAAAACTTCAGGAAAGCACTTGAAATTATTATTAGTTATTTGGACAATGTAACTTTACACTGTGAATGTCTACTGATACAAGAATAAGAATATTTCCTTTTACAAATATAAAGACTTTGAAAATTAACATGAACACATTATCATAGAGTTATAAATCATATTCTAATTGAAAAATGGTCAGCTTGATATCAAATCTTTGAATGCAAATTTGTGAGCTTATTAATGATTACCTCACAATATTAGTAGTAGATGATATATAATATTTTTGCTATTTCTTTTTCATCTTTACTTCATAGTCATTTAATGTCCATAATGACAAATGACTATACTGTGATTCCATGAAAATCCTTATCTCTGGTGTGTTTTCTACTTTGGTATATATAGAGTATCTAGTTTTAATACTTAAAACTGCAATGAAATGTGGATATTTTACTCTGTTTCTATCATTGTGACATTAACAAGTTAACTTGATTATGGACTCATAGTGTCAAACACCATAAAATCATACTCTTTTACATTAAGATTTTTGTGCTGGATGTCATTCATCTTCTTCAGGAAAATACATTTGACTATTCTCAGTGACTTATATTAAACCAATATTGCACTGTAACTGTGTGTTCTCTGATATCATTCTCAAATTAAGGAACTGGAAGATGGTAGTTGCAATGAAGGTCTTCATGGACAAATTCTCCTTCATCTTTTCCCTTTTTATCTGCAGAATGAAAAAGCAATAAATATGTTGTTACAAGTGTAAGACCTGAATATATTTCACTGAGTAAAACACTACAAATGATATTTACATTAGTCTTAATAAGCTGGCCATGATTGACACAAAAATTCATATTTGAAGTACATAAACATTAAAGATAAACAACAACACATAATATATAACAGTCATAAATATTGATCTTCTTAAATGTGAGACATGACTATTTTTCATGTTTTATTTACTTATCAATTATCATGCAGTGAAATCCAAAAATTATTTAAATATTTTGATAATTGTTTATCTTTCCGATCTCAACTAAAAATTAATTAATTATTTTACATGTATTTACCTTTGATGTATAGATATTTCAGGGTCATAGGCAGTGCAAACAGTTGATTAATGGTCCATAGTGAACAACTGTATATTCTATACTTGTCATATACTTCCCTGTCTACACATCTGAAATGGTTTATTCAAATATTATATTTTTAATTCAATCATAATTTGCTAGGTACCATATTAACATGTATATATAATTGAAAAAGGAAGAGAATAAAAAAGTAGTTTTAAAACAATACTAAAAGCTAAACAACTAGAATTCACTACCTTGACAAAACATCCGAAACAATTGTCACTATCCGAAAATAAACTAGTTTTATTAAACTCTATAAATCCCTCGTTTTTCCGTCAGATAATTGACCTACCTGCATTTTTTGACCCGAGCTTTCCATTCCTTCAAATCTGAAGAGGACCGAAGCAAATTTAATTTCTATATCTCTCGAGTTCTTCGGGTTACCTATATGCGTAACGGTAAATAAGTCTGCCGATGTACCCGGAAGTGGTAAATCGAAAGTGAAAGTAAACGAGACTTACGGGCCCTATTGGCCGTATAAAAACAGGTGCGCGTGATGTCATTTCCCCACATCTTTAGATTCATGATAAATCTAGTTAAATCGTAAGGAAATATTAATATAATAAAGTATTGACCAGACAAATTAATTTTCACAGGAGGTGTAGAGGAGATTTTTTTATGGTTCAAAATACGCAACAATATCAAAAAAAAAAAAATAATAATAATAATAATAAATAAAGAAACGTACGGCTATCCGAAAGTTCTAGCCGAACGTGAGTCACGAACGACTAGCCAGGACGCACTGTATTGTCTAGCCCATCTAGTCTAGCCGTACGGCACTTTTCAAAATTATATGGAAGTCGAACGTTATAAAATTGTTGATTTTAATGCTTATCATTTGTTGTTTTATTTGTATGAATTATTAAATCATATTTGTTAATTTTAAGCACATGGATCGAATAAAAAATGATCGGAGTGGAATAAATAAATAAAAAGAACATTGAATGGAAAAAAAAAACAACGGTGAAATGCAAAAATAATTATATAATTTTCAAAACAGTAGATAAATATCGAACATAACACAGTCAATCAATTAATTAACCTTAAATAAAACCTATCCAGGGACTGACAATAGAATTTTACAATGCCTTTCACGGAACATGCAAACTTTCTATACAGAACCGTCGGTAATTGTCGCAATTCTCAAGAGCCTAACAACAATCATTTTCAGTGTTTGTTTGTTTTTTTTTTCGTATTAAAGGTGTCGAAAATTAAACTTAATGAAACAAAAAAGGATTATTATCAAAATTTTACGGGCCCGTACGCTAGCCACTTCCATTATAAAAACCCTACTAAAACGTGTTCTTAATAGTACATATAATTAAATTTTTGCAGTTTGACTCTGACTTTAAAATTTAAAGCTGTGAACTCTTTTGAAAAGTAAATTGTTAACATGTCTGCCAACGTATGATCGTTCTGTTCTGTTCTGTTATCGTAGCCTAATATTAACTGCAGGCAAATCATTTTATAGGCTGCTCAAAAATCTAATTTGCATAATTTATTCACACAATTGCTGGTTCTTACTACTTGTGTCTAATACTGCGCATTGTCCATTTTAATTGTTCCTAATTTGCACCAAATGTTCCTGTCACACTGTGTACTGTCGATTTTTATTGCTCCTTGTATGCCTCTGTGCCGACAGACCTTTTGATCATGCACAGTGTTGCCCTGATTGGTTAATCACCCTTGTCAAATATTCTAATGACGAAATAGACATCTATTTTTTACGCTTCATCAGTGAACTGAATGACCTTAAGGGGAATTAGGTTCCACACCTATCAGTAAATTACAGCACGTCATAAAATAGCAACACCTTTTTTTTCAGTTAGCAATAATCATTTTAAATATTAAGTAGATTTATGATTTTTTGTTTTATTGGATTAAATTTACGGTAGTAGAAATGCGTATCTGTCGGGGAAAGGAATTTGGTAAGTAGATAACGTGGAAAAAAGCTTTAGTGAACAATATGCGTAATTATAGGGGAATGGGCAACCTGTTGCTGTTGGTACCAGTTTTGACTGGGTGCCTAAATAACCTAACGGACAGTTTTGTTTTCATACGATATTAGTCTAGCTGCCGATTTTCCTGCGCCATTCTCATTTTTAGCGTCAATGGCGGAAAATCGCGTCCTCAGCATATTGGATTTAGTTGATATTTTATCTGAAAAAAGATACATGACCGGCGATGTACCCTATTTGCACAGCTTGTCTAGCGAAAATTAAGTACAAAATAAAAGGATATATCGTCAATTTGAAGAATTTTTTCATAGTACCCAAATTAAATTAATTGTTTATCTTTGCAAATTAAGCAGTCATTGCTTAAATCATGTGGTGGGATCATCAGCAAGCTTGAATATCGGACAAACAATAATTAATGTCGCGGCGTCTTCAATTAATTAATTAAAGCAATTCAGTTCCATATGATGTTTTCATAAATAATATATAATGTACGCAATAAAATTAATAAGTTCTTCATCAAGATATATTTCAGTTGTACCAGCGTGTACACCTATACCGGAAGTGGGTATAACACGTCACAATCTCGTTCTCGTCTGTCTCGCGAGAATGACAGAACGCCAAAATGGCGGCGCTCATGAACATATTTCTCAAGTAAAAATAGTGTTTTAAAACAAGAATTTCTCTCTTATAGGGTTGATGTCAATAGGAAAACTGTCATGGTTCCTCTTTTTAAATGATGAATATTTATTTCAGACAGACATCAATCCATCCATTCCTATTCCTTTAAATGCCTGCGAGGATACAACTTTTCCAGTCGTCATTATTATAGTTTGTTTTACATTTTTTATATTTCGTACATGTATTTTATCAAGGGGATTACTTGTCATGTTCAATAGAGAAGGTAAAACGTGAGCTTGCAACAAACCCGAGTCATACGACATGGCTCACGTGGATTAATAAATGGGGTAGATATTCACTTGAAGAATATTTAACAAGCAACGTCAATCAGACACCTGATGAACCACAACTTCGACCTTGGCCTGATGCTGCAATAGAAGCTCTTAGGGTAAACGGCATACATGATAATTAAAAACCCTTTTTTAAAACAGTTTTATTCAAATTTGAAGTTCCCTCCGATTTATTTGGTAAGATATCTAGTATAATACTCATAAATAATTCACAAAAGAAATATTGATAGTTCCGAAATTACATATCAAATAGACTGTTCTAGAATATGATTATTGTTTTCATCGTATAGATTTTTCATACTGGATCATTTAGAACTCTATCAACCTTTTTTATACGCCATAACACCCTCCAGATGTAATTTTGGCATGACGTTGTCCGTCCTTTTGTCCGTCTGTTTGTCCTTTTCCCATAGGCAATTGGTTTCCGAGGCATACCTTTTGAACGATTTCAATGGCTTTGTTTATATTTTAGCATGTAAATATGTTATAGTCAAGTTCGATGTTTTTTGCAATCAACTTATTGTTAATAGAGTTATGCCCCTTTTTAAGCAATTTTAAGTGTAATGATTGGTTTCTGCAGAATAACATTTGAAGCATTTCAGTGATTGTGTTTATATTTGACACGTAAGTACGTTAAATCAGAACAAAGGTTCACTGCAATCAATTCATTATTAAAAGAGTTATGCCCCATCATGTAATTTGTATGTGAAATTATTGGTTTCTGTAGAACAACTCTGGAAGGATTACTGTGACTGTCAAAAATGAGGTCATGCTCGATTTGCGCTGTAGTCAACTGATTTTTAATAGTAATACTAGATAATAACTTTTTGGATATTTCAGTGATTGTATGAACAATATTTGGCGTGCAAGTACAGTGAAATTTGAGAAAACCGGACGCTGAGAAAATCGGAACTCTCTAAATACCGGACGAATAATTCAGTTCCCTTCTTTAAACTATTGTATTAAACATTGACAATACCGGAATCTGTAAAAACCGAATATCGGACGGTTGAAAGGGGACTACAAAGTCCATTATATAGACAATAACCCTGACAATACCGAACGACGAAGGTGTGAATAACCTGTGTACTTATCAATTGGTTGTGTCTAATACGCTAACTGAGCGGTAACGGAACAATGATTATCTGATTAGTTAACCCTTTACCTCATATATACGTGAAACAACGCACTTTCGACCCCCCCCCCCCTTTTTAGGCCTGAAATAGTGAAAAAATGTCCTATTTGGGTCCCAATCACATGTTTTCGTTTGAGAAATGTTGCTAAAAAAAGTGAGCACATCAGGGGTTGCCAGAAGGGGGATGCGCAAAGAAAAATTTTGGACTTGTGAGAAGCTTAAAATGACCCCAGGTCGATCATAAGGTAACGTGTAACCAACGCTGAAAAGCCTTTGAATCCATCTCAATCCCTTGCAGCACTTTGAAATAAATTTTGATGGAAAAAATCGAGGCAAAATAGTGATTTTTGGCAATTTTGAGATGTCCCCTCGTTGCCATGGTAACAGGAAATTTAAGACTGAGCATATCGTTACAAAGGCAATGGTCCAGTCAACATTTGTGCCAAGTTTGATTAGTATTGAAGCATTTTTCATAGTTTCATAGCAGTTTGAACTTGTAAGAGGAGGCTTTTCAGTGAAAATGGCCATTTTTCACAATATGCTCATGGGGGAAAGGGTTAATTATGTCTCTTTTTCCAGTTTGATTCATTGTAAGGTATAGATGTTACCTTTTTATATAAATGCCAAAATACACGAGAAATTGATAAGTTAAAATCAGTATGAATGGAACATAGAATATTATTATACTGCAGTGCTTTTTGTATATTCATTTCCCAAAATGGCAACGCAACGGAAACGACATTTATCAGCGCTAAGTTCCATTCCATGGCCTAAAAGAATTCGATGAGAGCTGTCTATAAGTAACAAATTTAAATTAGTTAAAGACAGTGAAACTTTGCCGAGACCTACCTTAAAAATCTTTATCTGACAAATATGGTATAGGCAATATTTACAATTGGGGCATTATTATAAACAAACAAAGTAAACTATGTTCGTTAAATCATTATCCATTACCCAAATGTAAACATATGCGGGTGTAATCTGACTTTATCATTATGAGGTAACTGCTGTTCGTTTAAATTCAAAATTTTATTGTATTTATATGCAATAATGGGACAAAAACAATTAAAAACATATTGTATAGTATTTTTATCATTTCTTTATTAAGCATTATACTTGCTCATGATCATGAAAATGCAAATATACGTGCAGCATCCTTTGTAAGTTATTGCTCGGTTTATAGGATCCTGAATAGCTGAAGGGGACATTGAGAATACCGGACCGCTGAGAAAACCGGACGAAACCCTCGGTCCGAATGCCGTCCGGTTTTTTTCAACTTTCACTGTATTTTATATCAGAACACAGTGATCAACTCTCTTGTGCATTTTTTATTAGGAATTTATCAAGTGAAATTATTAGTTTCAGCTGAATAACTTTTGAAGGAATTTAATGATTCTGTTTATATTTGGCACATTAGCTATATCAAATTACAAGATATGTTTGATTTTTGCAACTCATTATTTGAAGAGTTATGTCTCTCTTTCATCATATTTTCTGTGACATTATTAGCAAATTGTGTTTATTTGGGCAAAAAGTCAAATAAAAACAGGTAAAAATTCCCGATTTTCTCGGGTCATTTTAAATTGAATCTTGATATTAATCAAAAAACAAAAATCAATGTATAATTTTTAAATTATTTTTTTGTTATTCAAAATGTTATTTAAAAAAAAAACCCCAATTTGGTTTGGAAAAAATCCATAGCTCTGGTTGAACCATCTAGAACAAAAATTTGATATCTTACTTTAAGGCACATTTTTGTCGATGATACCTACTTGTAGATTTGCCGCCTCAGCGGAGCTCTTGTTCAATAAATATCTTATAGGAATATCCAAATGATAAATTTCTTTTTTTTTATCAATTTTTTAAATACCTGTGCAAAATTTACCAATTTTAGATCAATTCACTATCATAGATTTTTTTTTATTCTTTCATGATGTGAAAGTAATGAATGCTCAGAAGTTGGTAGTGGCTTAAGCCTAAACTAATTCTATATACATGTATAAGCAACTGCTGTTTGCTTGAATAACTTGAATAATTTATTTCAGATTTCAATTTATTGGCCCAAGATTAATAAGAGCTTTGTTTTGTATCTAAGAATGGAACTTAGTCAGTACTGGATTGATCCCATGTTCGCACCACGATTCGGAATGGATGAAATTCCAAACGCATTTGTTAAAGAGAACAAACATGGATGGAATAAAAATGTAAACCTCTCTTATAACTTAAAGCTAGGAGTAATTGTCAAAAAAGTGGAAAATATTGTAAAAGGTCAAGGTAAAAACGTTAAGATTACTTGCTTAAATGCATATCGTAAAACTGAAGAATATTACTATGGTGATGCGGTCTTTGTTATGGTACCGATCAAAGCTTTACAAAATATGGATATCCCTTTAAATGATAAACAGAGAAAGGCTTTGAATGGTGCATTTTTCATTCACGCTACAAAAATATTGTTGCAGTGCAGGAGACGTTTCTGGCAAAAGGCCATGTCATATAAACAAAGAACCAATTTACATAATGACTTGCAAGGCGGTTATACAATAACAGATGAGCCTATAGGCCGCATATTTTACCCGAACTATGTGGGATCAGGGATTGGGAGAAATGCTCGAGGAATACTAACTGTCTACACATTACAAGACAGTGCTGTTAAGTTTGGTAAAGATACTGTAAAGACGTGTATCAGTGAAGCAATAGCACAGATCAGCCGAGTTCATCCAGAGATAAAAGCGGAATTTGAAACAGGCGTAGTTCAGGCTTGGGATAAAGACCAGAAACGTTTGTGTGCATTTGCCGAATTAAATCCTCCAGACTATATAGAATCTATGAAAGCATTCGAATCGACAGGAAAATATTATATAGGGGGGGAACTTTTTTTCGAAATTTCTGGATAAAGGAGAAAATTGTTTTCGGGTTTTATTTAAGCGTTTTCCCTTTAAAAAGCCGTTTTGGGGGATCAACATCCAAAAACAACCTCTTTTCCTTCACAAAAAATCCCCTTTTCAAGTTCTCACAGAAGAGATACAATCGTCTCATATTATATTTATATCATGGTTTTGTATCATGCTTAAACTGTTTATTAAGTTTCCATTAAAGATGATTTCAATATGTTAACATGCTTTCCTGTGAGTGTGCGTCATTATCTTACGCAAGTTTTATATATGTACTGTAATGATGAACTACCAGAACACGTGTTCCATGCATATAATAAGTACTGGTTTATTACGTTTTTTCACATTTCCATAAAAAGAACAAAACAATCAAAGCAACTACATAGAGAATCCTTGAGAAAGCCTTATGTCCTATTTTGATCTATTCCAAGGCAGAGTTTTTGCCAGTACTGTCCATCAACAGGCTCAATTAAAACGAGCCTGCAACATTTTACAATTTTGCCGTGATGGGCTTCCTTTATGGATATTTTTTTCTCTCTATTTCACAATAATTTTAAACATGATCCGTATAATTAACAATTAATTTGACGTAAAATTGCACAAGTTCTTGCTGTCGAGCTCGTATGCGCAAGAGCAAATGAGTAATATTAACCTAACGGTTGGGAAGACACTTTAACAAAATGAGGACATAAAGAACTCAAGCATTTAAAATATTTCGGCATTAAAACAAAAAGTTTCTTAGTAATAAGTACAAAGTATTAGTAAAAGACACAGTTTATTGAATATGCAACATATTATACCACTGTTAAAAACTATGTGTATATATATATATTGCTTTGCGAAATATATTATTTTATGTGTCGTAATCATAATTGTTGATTTTGTGTCATTATCGTTTTACATGGCCACGTATAATAATAACACTTTACATTTTTATCTCCTATATTGAGCGGTTGCACATAAATCCAACTATGCTCCTAATACTCTGATAATTAATCTTGTTATATGTTACAAAGATTATATCAACATAATTTTAATTGCCCGCAACATTTTGCCGAGCCTTGCTGGTTTGTCATTATCCCACTCGTAACAAAATTCTTCTAATTTCTGCATATCATTTTATCTATAACATTATTTTCCATACTCCTTTTATTGAATTCATATAATTCTGAATATTTATGCATCAATGGCATTTTAATGAAATAAATGGTAAGAACATGTATACAAATCTTTTGTGATACTAATGGGCTAGTTATAAAGTTGCATGATTGAATAACTGATTCGGGAATTACATACACTGTTCAAAAACTATTCCTAATACCGAACAAAAATCTGATTGAAATTTCCATTGTATGCATGACAAGCAAGTGCATCCTAAAATAACTTAAAAACTGTTTACAATGTGCCACTTACTGTAGGAGTGAAGGGTCGTAACATTGTTCACGCACGCAAACACACAATTATAAACAATATGCTATTTATTACTTTAAATGTTGTTCACTTTAACGATTATACAAAACACTTATTGCTTGGACACTTCCTTTTCACCAGTGTTTAAAACGAAATCATTGCTGGCTTAGATATATTTCTATTCAAATGGAAATTCTATTAATTTTCTCACAGGAAAGACAGGCAAGATGTTTTTTGAAATGTTTTTTAAACGTTAGCAAAAAAATTTTCATTTTTGGAAGTTGAAAAAATTTTCCCAAACGGGTTTTTGGGGATAAAACTGCGGGAAACCCCAAAATTGAACGTTTTAGACATAATTCACTCAGTAAAACATGAAGTAACCATAAGCTAAAAAAATGTTCTTCACATCCCTTCACTTATAATATGTTACATATTGTATTGGTGTATAAGGTACATGTATGAACGTTTTAGTAACTACTTGAACAATAAGGGACACTTTGATTGATACTGTATTACTTAGTATTTTATTCATTCTTAAATGGGTGATATCAGTAGTGTTAGAATGTTTAGAATACACTTGAAATACAATAACTATTCTCTTTCTGTCTATTCAGTGCTTTTAAAATAAAACCTCATGTTCGAAATTAGGATAACCTATGTTCGGAATTAGAATCATTGGTCGGAATTAGGAGGACGTACATTCAATCAGGGATGGTATATTTATTATCGTTAAAGATAGTTCAGCACGACATTATTGTTGCTTTTGTGGTACTTTGAGTTTTTACTTTTTGGCATTTTTCAGGTTCCTACTTGAATAATTTTGAATCATCCTTAGGATATGTTGCCTGCTTTTTAAATTTGTCTTTTGACGTCATATCTGTGATATGCAGGCTACATTACCTCTGATCCCCTGTCGAAAATCCATTTTATTTAGTTCCGCCATTGCTTACTTGTTTAGGGCACACGCATTCTTTTACTTAGGGACCATACGCCGCTTTTCATGGTATGGCACGAAAGTTCACATTGAGGATTCCATGATAACCGCCGTATGAACACATCCGCGGATGTTTCTAAATACAAAATTTCACCATGTTGAATTCTGCTTAAGCCGGTGCTAGGGGGCTTGGACGGTAGTTTGCACTTGACAGAACTGTCCATGAACAGGCTCAATCAAATCGAGCCTGTAACATTTTCAAGTTTGTCTTGTTTGGCTTTCTTTAGGGATTCTTTATTTCTCTATTTGACAGATTATTTTGTTTTAAAAATAGCATATCTACAAATATAATTTAGTGGTCTAGTAGTATCTGACGAAATTGTAGCACGAGCTAGTATACACTTCTATTGAGGGTATTGTCTTCCTTTAATTGCTCATAATTCCAACCAATATTAAAAGTCGCTTAGGTATTCGGTAATAGGTACACCTTCTCTTCTTTAAATATAGAACACATTTATTAAAATTAACAAAACTACTCACTTGCCTTCAAAGTCTGACATGAACTAAAAAGAACAGCCTCATCAAAACAAAAAATCATAAATCCACCACCTTAAACATCAAAAACAGTATACATTGCTTCTAATGTATTGATTGTCTCAATAAATACACAGGGTTTCATTTCGTAAATTTCTTCTTTTTTTTGAACATTCATTAAAGCAGGAATATGAGAAAATAAGAATGATATAAAGATACAGCATGTATGACTAATTGTTATAATGAACTTAAAATGGGCCAATTATTTAATACTTTAAGTTAACAACGGTTAATGGAGACAATCTTATATCGCACTGATATACATGTATAACTGTTGACAAAATGAATTATGCAAATCGTGTATTATATAACATTACGCTAGTTTTGGGATAACACTGTTCCAATAAAGTTCTGATGTTTATAAAGTATATCAATTTTTATTATAATAAACCTTTAAGTATAGGTTAGTGTTTAATAATATGTATTAACAAAAATAATTGGTCAAGCCTGCCGCAGGCAGGCGACCAATTATTTTTGTTAATGCATATTATTAAACATTAACCTATTTAATGATCAACATTATTTTTTCAACCAAAAACGAGGCATTTCACTAAATCACCGATAGCTCCGCCCTTTCTCTCTACAAGATGTCTACACCTTGTCAAGTTTCTAACATATCACATTTAGATAAGCTAAATAAATGGCCCTATCAAATAATCGGGCACATTTTTTACTGAAATGTCACAGAATTTATACCTATAGAATATCTGGAAAAAAAAACAGCGAGGAAAATGATGCAATTAGGTAAAAACAATGGAGTTAATGAAATGTGTACATCCTTTATAGATAAATGGAAAATGTGAGAAGATACATTAGATTAATAATTTATACAAATTCGTTATTAGCTTTAAGTTATTCACTAACATTTAAAATCCCTATTGATTTGCTCATTTGAAAAACAGTTGACCTTTTTTCTGTATGTCAATTTAGGTTTACAGGTGGAGGGGGTCCATTTACGATGAGTTTTCCAGCCAAAAATGTAAACATTGTATTCTTAATATCAAGGATTGTTGATGCAGTTACTATCAAATGAAAGAAAATAATGTTTTGGTTACTTTTCTAGAAAATATAAAGTTTAAATCAGTCAGCAATTTATAACAGACATTATTCTTAGAGTTAAAAGGATATAAAAAAGTTACTATGTAATCATTTGTCTCTGCGTGGCCCACATGTATTATCTATGTAATAAATTAATTGATTGTATCCTCACATTTAGAACACCTGACCTCGCTTAATTTTTTACGTTGGCATTGTTTTGCTAACCTTAGATATTTTACAATTCAGAGTCTAACTCCTCCCTAATATAATGCATTATTGAAATTTGTTAGACTGGTTAGACGACAGATTAAGTAAATTTTATTTAGTTAATACACATTAACCAAAGTTAGACTTAGCAGAAATTTGAAAAATGTGATTGGACAAAAAATAATGTTGATCATTAAGTATAGGTTAGTGTTTAATAATACATATTAACAAAAATAATTGGTCAAGCCTGCCGCGGGCAGGCGACCAATTATTTTTGTTAATATGTATTATTAAACATTAACCTATTTAATGATCAACATTATTTTTTTCAACCAAAAACAAGGCATTTCTCTAAATCACTGATAGCTCCGCCCTTTCGCTCTACAAGATGTCTACACCTTGTCAAGTTTCTAACATGTCACATTTAGATAAGCTAAATAAATGGCTGTTCAACATATAATCAGGCACATTTTCATTGAAATGTCACAGAATTTATACCTTTATCTACATCTACTATCATGTTTCTATAAAATATCTGAAGAGGAAAATAATGCAATTAGGTAAAAACAATGGAGTTAATGAAATGTGTATATCCTTTTACAATAAATGGAAAATGTGAGAAAAATATATTAAAGATTATTAATTGATACAAATTCGTTTTAGCTTCAAGTTATTCACTAATATTTAAAATCCTATTGATTTTGCTCATTTGAAAAAACAGTATTTTTTGTATTTTTCTGTGTATCAATTTACGTTTACAGGTGAGGGGGTCCATTTACAATGAGTTTTCCAGCCAAAAAATGTAATCATTGTATTCTTA